CAATGACTTTTATTCCAAATGCTAGGTGGAAGGAAGTTTCTTTTATGGGAATCTTGGTGGTCGTTATCAAGGCCCATAGTATGTTGGGGAGTTCATCGGCCCACTTTCCCTTTGTCTCATCTAATTTCTTTTTCAGGGCCTTCAATATTATCTTATTCATGACCTTAGCTTGTCCGTTGGACTGAAGGTGGATGACTGACGTAAATCTTAGGTCAATGTGGACACTTGAACATCATTATTTGAAGCTCAAAATTTTCAATTGTTTGCTTATCCATGACTATGGACTAATGTAGGCCAAACCTGTAGACTATGTTCTCTGACACAAAATTTTTAACCCAGGCCTCCATTGTAGTAGCTAGGGCCTTAACTTCAAGCCATTTTTTGAAATAGTCTATTGCTGCCAGAACAAATCTCTTCTAGCCTGTAGCTAGGGTAAATGGTCTGATAAGATCCATTCCCTACTGCATGAAGGGCTAAGGGTTGATAATGGGGATAAGCTCAATTGATGAAAGATGTTGCACGTGGGCTAGCCTCTGGCACTAGTCACATCTTTTCACTAGGTCAATCTCATCCCTTTTGGTGGTAGGCCAGTTGTAGGCCTACATAAGCACTTTGTAGGTAAGCTACCTAGGTTTGAGGTGGTTCTTACATATTTCTTCATGGATTTTTGTTATGAGGTAATTTGCTTTTTTGTCATCTACAAATTTCAAATAAGGATAGGTTGAAAGATTTTCTATACAATTTTTCTTATACATCTATTTTCACTAAATTAAGCCCTCAATTAGACAAAAACATTTATCCATTTTTCCTCTAATAAGGGCTCAATTAATGAAAATAGATATTTGAAAGTTTAATTGATTGCAAAAAAATAATAAAGGTTTATATGATTATTGAATTTTAATTTAGGGGCTTTTGACCTTTCTGCCTTAAATTTTTTTATGTAGAAGCCACTTGATATTAATAATATATCATGTTTTTTTTGTTTTTTATTTTTTATTTACTTAATAAATAATTTTTAGATTTTAATTTATTTGTAATACCCACTTGATATCAAGGCTATGCCACATGTCAAGCCCTTTTTTTTCATTTTTTAAATTTATTTTTCTATTTTATATTTAATAAATGTTTTTAAATATTTTTTCATTATTTTTTAAATTTAATAGTTGTTTAAAATGATATTAAAAAAAATGTCAGCGTCACATTCCAATTTGATTTTTTCGGTTTTTTTTTTATTTTTTAAAATCAATTATATAAATTTTTTAAGAAAAACTCATCATTATTAATTTCACATGGCAATTCAACTTTTTTTTCTTTTTTGCTTTTAATCTTTTCTTATTTCCTTTCTTTTTAATTAAATCATTTTTTTAGAAAAAGGTTATGTTTTATTTCCTTTTTTGTCTCACTTTTTTTAATTTTTTAATTAGATAAATTTTGCACAAAAAAAACTAATAAATAAACTTTTAAAGAAAAAATTGTCAATGGAGATATGTATGGCAAAACAACTCAGTATTTGATAGGTTTTGGTTCGTCTAGATTCAATAAGTACGTGTTTTTAAATTTTGGATCGAATCAAGTTTTCTCCCAAAAATCAAAGTCAAGTCAAATACGAGTTTAAATTGTTTGGTCTTGTCTAGATATATATATATATATATATATAAATATATGTTTTATTATTCATTTAATATTTTATTTATATATTATATTAATAAAATTGTTATTTAATATCTTAATTTAATAAATTTATGTGCAATCTCCATTTGGCTTCATTTTATTTTCTTTTATATTTGCCATTTTCTTTGTTTTTTTAAAAAATTTGACTTTTTAAAATTATATAAATTTTGTAAAAAATTCAATGAATGTAAAGATGATAAAACTACTTATATCTCATAGTTTTTATTTTGTCAGATCTAATATATGTGGGTTTTTAAAAATTCAGGATCAAATCAAAAGTTTTTTCTTTTATAAGTAATCAGTACCTGATGTGTTTTGATCTATTTTGATTTGATAGGAAGCAATCTTTTAAAATCGAGATTGAGTTAGGATGGGTCGAGTTTTTTTTATAAGGTAAGAGATTGGGGCAGAAATGTATTTAAAGTGCTTTATCCTATCTAATTTTGGAGTATATATAAAAGTATATATTTTATAATTACTTTAATTATATATTTATATATTATATATATTATATTCGTAAAATTATTTTTATTACTTTAATTTTAGAAGTTACTTTAATATATATTATTTGTTACTTTAATTTAATATTTTAAATTAATATTTATAATTTATGTTTTATTTTCCTTTTTTTTTTTTTTTTTGCTTTTAACAATCTTTTTGTTTTAAATTTTTTTTATTAGATGTATTTTGTGAAATAAAAGGTCAATTTAAGTATTCAATAGTTATCCTTGATTTCTTTTTTTTTTTTTTACTTTTCTCTTTTTTTTTTTTACAAAAAAAAAAAAATCAACCGCGCAGGTATTCACTTGTTGACAAAAATAAATGGTAACAAATTTAATTTAAGTATTCAATAGTTATCCTTGATTTTTTTTTTTTTACTTTTTTCTCTTTTTTTACAAAAAAAAAAAAAATCAATCGCCCAAGTATTCACTTGCTGACTATAATAAATGGTAACAAATTTAAGTGCATAAGGGTATTTTTTTTTTTTTTTTGGTCATTCAAGGGGAACAGAACCCTACATTAAGGGAGAGTGGAGAAGGCTGGGGTCTTCATGTCTTCTTTAAAACTATCTTCACCACTAAGTCAAGCAGTTGAAGACATGCATAAAGGCATTATGAATTTTAGGGAAGAGTTCAACTGGCAAGATATTTGGTCTATCATAGGCTTTTGTCTTTTTCCTTGAAGAAAAATTATTGGTTAGATTACATAATAGTAGAAAGTAACAATCCTCTTTTATCTGCCAAATTGATTTAGATACAAAGAAACCACCAATTGTGGAAGAAACTACATGTTTGCCTATTTTCAAGTGAATCGTCTTCCTCCATCTCCCATTTATTGGCTTTAGAAAGAAAGATGTAGAAATGACAAGGTCAGGATCCAAGCAATGATATTGGTTGAAGAAATAATTGATTAATTAATGGATCATTATCAAGACAACTCCGTAAATGCTTATATCCCTTTCGCGGTTGTCTGATTATAGCTTCACATAATGGTGGGGGATGGAAAGGAAAACCATTAAAACCAACATCAGTATTGATGTTGGTACTGATGTTGGTGATGATCAGGTAAAGTGCTGGTTTTCAGGAAGCAAAAAGTGGTCACAGCAAGAAACCCACTTAAGCTTTTTTCTTTCTTGTTTTTTAGAAAGGGATTCAAATCCTGTTCTTTTGAGTAGGATATAATGTTTCAATTGTTACAACCAATATCTGAAAATCAAGAAATATATAAATATTGGAATTTTGAAAAAAAGTTTTATGACGTGTAATAATGTCATTTTTTTAAAAATTTTATTCACTCCCATCATATTAATTTACTTAAGAAAAATTATATTTGATAAATTTTAAAGATACAATAAAATTCAATGATTAATTATATTTTGTACTAATGAAATTAATCCAGCTAATAATAACCAGCGAATTACAAAGTCACCACACTCTTATAAAAATTTTATGAAGCAAAACATTATAACAGAAATTTGAAATTTATTTGAAGAAGAGGGAATAGCCAGAAAGATTGTTTTTTATCTATATATATTTTTAGGAAAAAATAAAGGAGTTTAAAAATAACTGTTTGACTATGAACAATCATAAACCGTCTGTTTTTTAACAGACTTGTCTTGTCTGTTTTTTAGCATGCTTATCTTATGTGTTTTGAAAAGAGTTATTTTCTAAGCACTTAATTAACTTTTATTTAATTAAAAATAATTTTTTTTAAAAAATAATTTATTTGCTGCACATATCAAATATAATTAATTCAATACCAAATAAGCTTAAAGGTCCAAATCCATGGTGCAACCTCGCATTTTATCCATTTTGGTCCAATTACATTGAACTTTCACTCCCTGTAATTTAGAGGGCTTTGTTATCTTTTACTTTTCCCATATGCGATTACTTTCCGACTTTATTTTGAAAATCTCCAACACCAATCACTATGTCAAATGTTGCATGCAACCTTAGATAAAATTTATATAAAATTTCGTAACTAAAATTCATAAAATTCTTTATTAGAAATGAATAAATAAAAATTTTAATAAAAAATCTAAATCGATAGATTAATATAATTTAATGTGAAGATCAATAATAAAAAAATTATTAAAAAAATTATTTATAATTTAAATTTGATCAATATTTATTTAATGATAATTTTTATTAATATTTTTATTAAAATATTTATTTTATAAATATGACAAAAATTTTTAAATTTTTAAGAAATTTTGTATACTTTTTGGATGCTCAAGTGGAATTTGGAGCATTCAAAAAACTTGGAGATCCAACTACAAGAAGACAAGTAGTCTAATGCAAGATTGCTTTGTTATTTTTCGCTTCTATTTTCTGTTTGTGATTTGACATAGGCTGCTGGAAAAATCTTGATTAAAATCGCTGTCTTTTCTTTGATTCTTGTTCTTTCGTTTTTCGGGAGATGATTCTAAATAAATAGGTACGAAAACTATAATTGTAAACCACGATCGAATTTAGGGAAGCATTGGTTTATACATTCCTTTTAGTATCTACTCTAGGGATAATGATCTATACGATGAAAATTTTCAATCGGTTTTAATTTTTTATTTTTATTTTAATTTACTCATTTCTAATAAGTAACTTTACTTATAAACTTTTATGCAAATCTTTTATCCCTAATTAAGCTTTCTTGGTTCAGTGTTGTGATGATTTGGCCCAACTTTCGTGTGCCAACGCCGCCCTGATTTTTGTCAGCCAAGGTAATGCAAAGACGAAGCATATGGATAACTGTTGCAAACTTACAATGTTATTTGAAAATGGAGATTGGAGTGTATATATGTTTGAATATATATATATATATATATATATAATTTAACGTGTAAACTGAGAAGGCAAGAACAACCTTTGCCTTTTGCTTCTGATGCGACAATTTGATCCTGTTGATGATGAAGCAATCCTGCTTAAAACCACATCCAGGGACTGCTTTAGAGTGCTTGGTGAAACACTCTGATCTTCATCACTGTTTTCATTGCAAAGGATCAAGTTGCTTTTCATTCTTCCACCTACACTTGAAATATCAGCTTTAACTGTGCTTAGCCTTAGGCCTTTGAGGACTCGGAGGACCTCCGCGAACACTCCTGGCCGATCATCACAACAAACAGAAGCCCTGATGAAGATCTTGTCCTTGCTTTGATTGGTATTGGTGGGGCTTATGTCTTCAGGAAGATCACAATCTACAGTTACTTCATCAATTTCTGTCGGTATATTGAAAGCTTTGCTGATTTCTGTTGCTTTTCGCTTTAAATCCTTTACATGCTCTATTGCACTTCCCAATAGAGCTGCCTTGTCCATCTGTACAAAAAAGAATTGATCTTTTCAAATCTTGAAAGCCAGCCATATTTGCTTGTAAATCTCAATGGTTTATTTGTTTTTAACAGCTCTAAATATCAGTTCAGATAATTGTTTTTATGGCTTTATTATCGCAGAGGGTAAAGGCATCGCGTGGTACAGTTTTGATGAAATCAAACTAACAGAGACGTGTATGTGCCTGAAGCGAGTACCTTGTCAGACATGGGAATCAGTTTCCTGAGAGCTGCAAGCTGTGCATTAATTCTGTCCCTACGCCGTTTCTCAGCTTGTCTATGGCTCTTGGAAACAGTAGTAGCTCTATCCTCTGCAACTACTTCAGTCGGTATTGCCCACAAAGGGAAATCATGGCATTTAACTGAACTAGAGGCAGAAAAATGAGGCTCTATCGGCCATGGGACTATGAAAGAAGACTCGTTGCTTGGTGCAGCACTGAAATCAGCCCAATTTTCAGCGTCAGGCCAGCTAGAATGATAACTATTCTCCATAGCCAAAGTTAACAGTAAGAGTTCTAAAATCCAACAATCCGGAATCCACCTGCTTTTATCAGGCATCTAGAGCACTGTTCCTTGAGCTAATAATGTGTGATCTTCATATCCCGATAGTGATTGGTGTGATATCTTTTAACTTTTGATGGGTCAAATGAAAATTGTGTTTGGCCGTATTCGGCTGTCAACTCAACAAGGATTTATTTAGATAAACTTTTTCAAGCCAACTGAAGCTTTATAGATCATGAAGCAGGGAGAGGAAAAGGTCATTTTTTGTGATATGTTCCCAGAGAGAAGTAACGACTCTTGGCTCGTTTGTGTATTCGAATTCGATTTGGTATATAAGTGTTATATCGTCATTGAAGCATTTTTTGTGAATTAAAATTATAATGTAATATGTTGAAGTGGATAATTTTTATAAATTAATTTAAATCGTGATATTTGATATATTAATCGATTGTATGATGTTAATAATATGTCATGAGAATGATAAATTTTTATTAAAGTGTAAAAAATATGATAATCTTAAAACTCATAAAATATTTTTTATAAAATAAAATTATAAAATTCAATGAATCAATGTACGATAACTCATATGAACCAGAGCAGTCTAACAAAGCATTAACTGCGATGATTGTTAAAAATGGACAACAAAGAGAATTTCGCGGAAATAAACGTGGAGAACATGATTGTTGGGAGCGGCTGTTCACTGTACTAGCAGATATCTAGAAAGAACATCTTCTTTATCTGCAGTCTTCTTACAAGAATTATTGTGTCATTCACATGTCTGAAATTGTAAGAAGTTGGAGTGGTGGAACTTGGCCTGTTTTAGCTTTTGCTGCCTTATACTTATCTATGAACCGTTGTCTTTTTCTTTCTTCAAGAAGAAAGAAAAAGGTGTCATTGAACCCACAAATGAAATTAAATTAAATGCTCTATTCAGCTTTCTTACCTTGGGTTATATTTATGTTTATCCATCCACTCATTATGCATGATCTTGGCTCTCTTAGCTAGTTTTTTTTTTTTTTTTTTTTTTTTTTTTTTTCACCTTAATTTGTTAATGTAAAAGACCAAAGCCTAAGTGTGTTGGTTACTTGGTTTTGTAATACATCAAATTTAAAAATTGTGAAGATTCAGTATAAAATATACTCATGAAATATTTTTCACGGAACAAAATCATTACTCTTTGATTCTTGATCATTGCAATATTGGATTCTGATCCCGACGATAGATGAAGTGTTTTGGGATAAGGATTAAGGAGAGATGGAATGAGTTGTATAGAAAAATTACCTTTGTAATTATTAGGCTTTCTCATACATTATTTGCCAGAGTTTAATCTCCAATAAGGCCAAGTTTTGGTGGCTTTATTTGTCCTTTCCCACTCGATTCTCTATGCTTTAAACATATCCCTGCCGTCCTACACAAGCAAACAAGGTGACTTAAATTACCATCACTAGTTAGTCCCCACGTAGGACCTCAATCACACTCAAATTGCAACTCATCATTAAAGACTTTAGGAGATTGACACGACCTTTGATCAACCACTCATCTTTGCACACGATTATGTGGTGCCATTGATTTTTCTCCCCTTCTGTTTACCTGCCCCAAACCTCAAGTTTTATCGTCGGCAAGGGTAACAATAAAAATGTGCAAAATGTAGGTTTGTGTTCGGAAATATGTACTTAGCCGCTAAGGGTTTTATCAAGCAATTAAATCTGTCAAAGCAGTATTACCATTGAGTAAAGGCCATGTTCATGAATAAGATGCTTAATGGTGGTAAAAGCCACATTATAACAAGCTATAATCATATGTTTATCTTCATTCCAACAAGAAGGAAAATTACAGGCTAAGCTGATAAATTCGAAAAGACTAGCAAATTGCTCAAGCCAGAATTGGACGGGTACTCCCTTGTCTTCTGTCTGTAATCTCATGTAAAATGATTACGACGTTGTACAGAGCAGTATAGCAGATAAACTATATGCAATAAAGCAGCACAACGACAAAGGAAATATGAAAATAGGACATTAAAGATGTATTTAATACAAAATATTATGATAAGATAAGATAAGATAATATTATGAATATGATTATATTAAATAATATTATCTTATCTTATATTTGATGTGTATAAGAATTAAGATAATATAAGATAATTTATTTATTGATCAAAATTAAGATAATTTATTTATTTATCAAAATTATCTTTTCACAAAATTTATACAATTTAAATTATTGATGTAATTTTTAAACATATAATAGGGACATGTAATTTCAATCCCATGAATTAAAAATAATTTTTTTTACTTTGAAAGGAATGAATCATCATATACCAAAAGAATGATTAATCATTTTTGCAATTTTATCATTTTCTTTAGATATAAATAAAACATAATAAGTATAATTATCATCTTATCTTATCTTATCCATTATTTTATGCACCAAATATAACCTAAAAAATGTGAATCAATCAATGGGGAGACAAATGGAGGGCCTTTGCAGCATAAACAAGGCAGTTTGATAGTAAGCAAAAACCAAATTTGACACGTTTTCTTAAAAACATGCTTCATTGGTTATAAACATAATGCCAATAGAAAGTTTTAGTTACAAAGAGGCTTTTAGGAAAAATGTTGACTTCAAAGCCAAACCTATATCCATAAACAAGCATATGCAGACACTTTAAATTTCATTTTGAAATCCAAAATGGGTGCACTAAATCGAACATCGTGACTCTAAATCCTACCAGAAGGCTAACAGACAGTAAAGTCACTTAATCTGGCTAGCTGGACATTGAATTGTTAGGAATAGTAACTCAAATCCCATAACATATTTATTTATGATTGGCTAGATATTGCTTGATGGGTAAGAACACTTATAGAAAAAAAATTCTAAGAGGAAAGGGATTCTTAATAGACAAATTTGTATGCTTATAAATAAGTGAAGTCGTTAAAGGGTTAGATATGAGAAAGAAATATAAGAGAGTTATAAGATTTTATGGGATGATCACTTTATAGGATTACAGGAGATTAACATTTTTATAGTGGTGTGCATGTTTATGAGTGGACTAGAGGAGCCTGAAATGGTTCACATAAGTATGATGTATGAATGCATATGGGTATATGTTTGTTTGTGTTGAAATGATGCAAATTGGTATGTGTTTGTTTGGGTTGAGGATACTTCATAGGATTAAAAAAGATTGAGAGGGTTTATGGGTATTCATTGATGTGTTTGATATGATTATATGTTTATTATTCTCTACAACTAGTGGATCTTTTTTTTATCTATGGATATAGGTCGGTTGAGTTAAACTACGTTAAGTTGTTATCTCTTATGTGATTGATTAATTATTTGATTTTGCTTCCATTGGTGTAATAGGATTTGAGCTTTTTAGCCTAACAAATGATATCAAAGCTGTGGTGATCTTTAACAGTGATATTAGAGCTGAAGGTTCAAGCCATAATTAGAGGTAAGTTTAGAAGAGCTCGATTCAAAGAAGAAGTTTGAGTTTATATTTTGAAGATTGATTTGCATGAAGCATAAAGACACAAGAGAAGATGATTGTGGGACTTTCATTATAGGTAAAGCTAAATATGTCTAGCATGAAGATAGATGATTGGATGAAATTTAAGTCAATGTGGAGATTGTTAAGAATAGTGACTCAAATCCCATAACAAATTTGTTTGGGATTGGCTATATATTGCTTGATGGACAAAAAGACTTGTAGAAAAAGAATTCTAAGAGAAAAGAAAATTCTTAATAGGTAAGTTTGACTTATTGAAGAAAAATTTTAAGAGGAAAGAGATTCTTAATATGTAAGTTTATATGCTTATAAATAGATGAAGTCTCTATAGGGTTAGTTATGAGAAAGACATATAAGAGAGTTGTAGGGTTTTATGAGTAGACACCTTAGAGGACTATAGGAGATTAACGTCCTTATAGTGGTGTGAATGTTTATGAGTGAACTAAACGATATTGAGATAGTCTACATAGGTATGATGCATGAATGTATATGAGTATGTGTTTGTTTGTGTTAAAAATGTACACATAGGTATGTGTTTCTTTGGGTTGAGAATACTACATAAGACTAGAAGAGATTAAAAGGGTCTATTGGTATTAATTATGAGTGATTATTTTATTATTTATTTATAATTCTCTATAACTAGTAAATTTTTTTTTCATCTTTGGACGTAGGTTGGTTGAGCTGAACTATATTAAATTATTATTTTTTATATGATTAATTAATTATTTGATTTTATTTTCGCTGGTCTGATGGGATTGGGGCTTTTTAGCCTAACATGAACAACTCTCCATAAACTTTCTAGGGGTTCGGTTCATTCATAATCACATAATAGAAATGCAATTGGAAGTAAAAAAAAAAATCTACTAAAAATTCTAGAACCAATAGGAAAAACCTGAAATTTGGGCAATTACAAAACTTAATTCGAGAAAAAAAAATAGAGGAGCTATTTACCCAATGCAGAACACTCTATGGAGACAGCATCTCAGCTTTAACAAGGCAGTTAATACCATCTTAATTGGCTATTTAGCAACAGTTAAGAAATTTCATTTTTGCAAAAGACACATAAATGTGCTAGCTTATCTATGTCAAAGAAGAATTACCAAGTTATGAACAAAAAATGAGAAAGTATAGTCAAAGAGAGATTTAGAAGTAGGCATTTATTGCTAAAAAAAATTGAGATTAGAAGTTGTAGGGATTACCTAGCCTTTATCATGTTAATCTAAATAGATGAACAAATTGAAAGAAAAAGAATTAAAAAAGTATACTAGGCTGAAAAGGTTGAGCATTGATAACAAACATCAAACATGTAATTCTTTATACATTCATGTATTGAGGTCTCATCAAAATGTAAAATCTTTGCCATGTAAAACTTGGGCATCTATAATACCTACAATCAAGATGCAATGTGATCTTCAATGATGTCTCAAAGAGTTAGTTGATCTAACAATGCAGACCCTGGTTACTGTCCACCTTAATACTTATTAAATGTATGGTCCCAACTTTTCATACCATGTAAGTTTTTGTGAACATTACTATGCTGATAAAAACAAATGAAGTCAAACACTTCATTACCCCTTGGAAACTGAAAAGTAAGGCCTTGTTTTGGCAATCCTCGCTTGCTATCATCAAACAAATTTATAAGTGCTTCTGGAAGGCGAGATTTTTTCTTTCCTTTGTCATTTTCTCTTATAGCATCCAATACTTTATTGCCTATCTCTAATTTAGATAGCATTCAATACTTTACTACCCATCTTTCTTTTGCTGTTAGTGGTACCTTTTTTATTGTAGATCGTAAGTTAAGAGATGATGATGCCACTTGCTTCAGATTGACAAAACCATTGAACCATTAATAGCCTCACAGGTTTGAG